TGCCTTGGATTGTCTCACAGGCAGCAAATGGTTTTCAGTCCTTGACCTTAGGAGTGGATATTATCAAATTTCCATGTCCGAGCAAGATAAGGAGAAGACTGCATTTATCTGCCCTCTTGGGTTCTACCAATTTGAAAGAATGCCGCAAGGTATCACTGGAGCACCTGCCACTTTTCAGCGGCTTATGGAGAAAGCTGTGGGGGATATGCACCTTCTCCAAGTGATAGTGTACCTCGACGACATAATTGTTTTTGGCAGAACACTTGAAGAACATGAGCAACGTCTCCTTAAAGTCTTAGACCGCCTTGAGGAATTTGGTCTGAAAGTGTCGATAGACAAATGTCAGTTCTGTCAGTCCCAAGTAAAATATGTTGGCCATATTGTTTCAGAAGCCGGAATAGCCACAGATCCAGAAAAGGTTGCTGTTGTTAGAAACTGGCCAGAGCCAACAGATCTTAAGTCCCTTCGCTCATTCCTTGGTTTCTATAGGTACTATTGCAGATTTATTGCAAACTACTCTAGCATAGTCCGTCCATTAACAGAACTTACCAAAGGTTACCCACCTACTCAGAAAAGCAAGAAAATTCGAGCCAAAGATCCAACCAAAACTTACCTCAAACCTTCTGAACCCTTTAAAGACAGATGGGACAATTCCTGTCAACAAGCATTCAAAAAGATCATTGACTGTTTGACTAATGCTCCTGTACTAGCATTTGCAGATCCCACCAAACCGTATGTCCTGCACGTGGACGCGAGCATGAATGGTTTAGGTGCAGTAATCAACCAAGAGTACCCTGAGGGCCTTAAGCCTGTTGCCTTTGCTAGTCGAAAACTCAGTGACCCAGAACGAAACTATCCTGTTCATCAACTTGAGTTCCTAGCACTGAAGTGGGCTGTCGTTGATAAATTCCAAGACTACCTCTATGGAGTTAAGTTCACAGTTAGAACAGACAACAATCCTTTAACGTACGTGTTGACAACAGCAAAACTAAATGCTGTTGGACATCGTTGGCTTGCAGCTCTAGCTACATATGACTTCAACATCCAGTATCGTCCTGGTCGTCACAACGTAGACGCAGATCTATTATCCCGGCAGTACACAAATGAAACTGAACAATGGTTAGATGTGCCACAATCTGCCATAAAATCCATCTGTAAAAAGGAATCCATAAATGGAACTACTAAGCTAGTAGACCAACTTGGTGTCCCTCCATCAGTGATTCCGGAAGCTTATGTTTTTCCAGTGAGTCTGAGAGCAACCTTGTATGAGCAGTTTACTTCTAAAGACTTGCAAGTTGCTCAAGATCTTGACCAAATTATTGGTCCAGTTAAACAAACCATCCAAACTGGAGAGCAGCTTATTCCATCCAAAAATTATCCACCTGATGTGACATTGTTAAGTCGAGAGAGCTCAAAACTTAAGTTGGACAACCAAATACTTTACCGACAAAGAAAAATGCCCAGTGGCACAGTGAATAAACAACTGGTTCTACCAGAAAGATACAGAACAAGTGTAATGAGATCGTTACAGGATGACTGTGGACATTTAGGCATTGAGAAAACGTCAGAATTGCTCAAAGATCGTTTCTACTGGCCTAGAATGAACACCGATATGGAACAGTATATAAAAACTTGTGGACGTTGTATCGCCCGAAAAACACTACCACAACGTTAGTCTCCACTCAATCAAATCACTAGTAATGGCCCCTTAGATCTGGTTTGTATTGATTTCCTACAAATAGAGCCAGACAGCAAAGGAGTTGCCAATGTACTAGTAGTAACCGATCATTACACAAGGTACGCTCAAGCATTCCCCACAAAGGATCAAAAGTCAGTCACAGTTGCAAAAGTATTGTGGGAGAAATACTTTGTTCACTACGGACTGCCCGCAATAATACATTCAGATCAAGGCAGAGACTTTGAAAGCCGCCTTATCAAAGAGCTTCTGTTGATGCTTGGTATCCGAAAATCACGCACCTCACCTTACCATCCACAAGGGGATGCCCAACCGGAACGTTTCAACAGAACGCTTCTTTCGATGCTTGGAACTCTTGAGGATGTTAAAAAACAAAACTGGAGTCAACATATTAGTCAGTTAGTACATGCGTATAACTGCACGAAAAATGAATCTACCGGATATTCTCCCTACTATTTAATGTTTGGACGCAATGCTAGGTTGCCGATTGACCTTTGTTTCAATGCGGGTCTTGAAAGTGATTCAGAGAAAACTCACTTGCAGTACGTTGACAAAATGAGAAAAGAACTAAAACAAGCTTACCATCTAGCTACCGAGAGTGCAACAAAGAACCACCGGAGAAATAAGTCCCGTTATGACCAAAGAGTACGAGACCAACCCTTGCAAGAAGGAGACAGGGTACTGATAAGAAACGTTGGTTTAACTGGTAAACACAAACTACAAGACAGATGGAGATCAACCCCATACATTGTAATTCAAAAGTTACCGAACTTACCGGTATACAAAGTCAAATCAGAACAAGGAACAGGAAATGTTAAAACTCTACACAGAGATCATCTACTACCTATCAGTTATCTCGTCCGAATCTCAGAGACCTTAGAAACACCTGAAAGAGTCAGATTACCGGTTACTAGACGACAACATGCTCTACAAAGTCAAACACGTGACCGAAATGCTAAAAAATTGGATGCTTCTTTAGTCTCATAATCTGAGTATGAATATGCGTATGGGTATCAAACCAAAAACACTGACCATGTCAGGAGACATGTACCTATACTAGGCAGACCTGATGTCCAACCTGCTTCTTCTGAAGAGTCTTCCTCACCTGAGAGTGAACCTGAGTTTGAGGATGGACCATCTTAAAGTTCACAAGAGGAATGTCAACCTTCAAATGTAGAACCAGAAGCCAGTGATAAATCTAAAGATGCCGAAGTGGAGTTGAGAACTCGCACAAGTCCCAAAACCAGAAAGTCAGCGCGAGAAGTGAAACCAGTCATCCGTTTGACTTATGACAAACCTGGAACACAAACTGAGGAACCTGTGACAATTGTGCATCAAGGAATGGTAATACAAGTCAACCTCAGTAACACTAGGGATGAAACAAATCCTTTAAAATGTTCTAAACATTAAGACTCATCTCTCTGGATCTAAGTTTAAACTTGGAGTTAGATGAGGACATCTAAACCTTTTAGAAGGGGGAGGATGTAGCCTGGTCTAAAAAAAAAATCTATTTCAGACTACTAGGTTAAATATATTAAAAATCGAGTTAAAATGCATTTAAAATCTGTTTAAAATAACAATAAATAAAAGTTCATCAATTATTAAAAAGTGTTCATAAATAGTTTAAATCCAAATAACAGGTTTTTTGTTTTTTTGTCAATTTAATTGTTGAATTTTGATGTTAATGTTGCCTTAAGTTCGTTTGCCTTGAATCTTGTTTACAACCTGACTTGTTAAGTTGTCAATCTTGTGATTTCTCTTATCACATTGGATGATGTAAACTGAATACCCAATCAGATGTGTTAGAGGGCGGGATCTAGGTTATAGCACTCGGTTACTGGGTTTGCCTGAGGAGGCTATTCATCAGAGTTAAAGCTACAGTGTGTAATAATTACAGGCATATAAATTCAGAAATTTAATATATTATACATAACTATGTTATTTATCATCACCTATGAGCTCAGCCTTTTAACCATAACATTTGCGTTGCCTTAGAATTCGTTATTTATAATTACATAGGAGCGGGTCTCGCAGCCATGGAGGCTGACATCTTTGCGCTACGGCAGCGCAGAGGCAACAAACTAGCGATTGCGAGATCTCCCATGACGCTCGAAAATAACTACGGCAAGTTGAGAGAGATGAACTGAGACGGTACTGAACAGTAGATGGCAGTATTATGCCTGAGAAGCGTTTAGTCTGCCTGAAACCAAAGAAGAAGAAGAAGCAGGTATACTGCGCCTCGGTAACAAGAAAGGTAAACAAGGCGGCAGGCGTGAGTGACTTTGCAAACTGTTTGGCACTTTGTGGCCAAACATCAGACGAATGGAGGATCATGCCTACTCTGTATCACAACGAAAAGCGGCGGACATCGAACCCCCGTCATCTAAGAAGCGGAAACACGACGAGAATAAACGCAAGAGTGACAAGAAACGACAAAAAACACGGATCAACATTGGCACGGCATTTACACGATGGAAGTCACTGATGGAGGAAAAAGGTTTTCAAAGTGACGCTCAAGTTGCCAGTTTTCTCTTGGACAGGTAATTAATCCTATACACACAATTGTCTAATATCACTGCAGTTTTTGGAGTACAGGATGCTCAGACCTGTCTAAAACAATAACATGCTGCGTGATGATGCTGTTACTCTCCAGTATACTTATTCAGCAACGTCCCTGACGTTTCACAGGTAATGATTCAGTAATTTTCTGTAAAATAATTTTCTGGATATATACCTCGGTTACTTCTCTCCGGCTCCTTTGGAGATCTTCAAGCCTTTCCTCCTCTGCTCTCACCCCGCTGGCTCCCCTCTCTCGCCTGGCCCCAGCTGCAGGCTCACCCCGGCCTCTCTGCCCTCTTCCTTTCCCTCTTCCTTGCCTTGTAACCCCCGTGCCACAAACAAGACTTGGACTCTGTAAACGGGGAATATATATTCTTCCAGCGAACACAATCTCGCTGTTAAACTAATGACTACAATTACTTCGTCTGTTTATATCACCATGCAAAGCAGCTCACCAAAACGTCACAACGACGTAGAAAAAATAACGGGTATATTTATTATCTTAAGTCTACATGAAATCTATACCCTACACAGACTAATGAAATACTATCTGTAAAATTATCTATGTAAACAAACCTCATCACTTGAGAAGGTAGGTGATGCGGACGTCGTGGAAGACATTTTGTCCCGTAACGCTCGCCGTACTGTTGGGGGGGAGAAGCGGTGGGGGGGAGACGTTCATGTTGCTGCAGTCTGCAGTCTGACCGCTAGATGTCGCTGAAAATTAAACACTGTAGCTTTAAGGGGATAATCATTAAAAAATAGCCGTGGATGCAGAGTCTACGTTCCTGTTTTTGGACTGTTTACCCTTTGATGAGTGAGTACTCGATATATGATGATTTTTGTGCATAGACGGAATGTGTAAGTGCATAAAATGTATCATGCTAATCGCTAGTTAGCATGTTAGCATTTTACCGCGAGTTATTAGCAGCTATATATGCTAAGTATATAAGCTCTTGACTTAATTTATGGAACTAAATAGCCACTTCTAATGCACAGTGGACCGGGAGGAATTCTCTGGACTCTTCTGCTGTGGATAGACCTGTCGCAGTTTCTTCAAGGTGTACTTCCAACTCTCGAGTGTGAAGATAACTCCAACCAAGTTGAAGAGTTTCAGTTTGGCATGGACATGGCTTGACCTCCATCAGATCTCGTACCTATTCCAAAAGGATTTTGTGAGTAAGCACGTGCATTTTATTTTCTGCTTGTTCAACAAGTGAAGCGGCCTTTTTCTGTTTTCTGGTCCCAACAAACCCAAGCAACAACCAGGCCTGCAACGGTTTATTAAATCTGAGCTCAGATAAATTACGTATCTGGACTGGTTAAGGGAAGAAATTTATAGAATATCATTTTCTAAATTGTTATTTTGAGTCTGTGAAGACATTTGAAGTATTGTAAGTGTACTGAGACACTTTAAAAAAAAACTTGGACATTTTCTTTTCAACATTTTCTCTTTTATTTTTATTTTTTTTCCCCGAATCATAATTTAAGTTTTTACTAAAATTTACCCATATATTTAAATTTATTTGTGTTGTGTCATAATTATTTACCAAGATTTAAAAGTAATGGTTGCATTTAAGGATAGGAAAAGGAAAAATAAAAGGGGTTAAAAGATAAAATCATTATTCTTAGTGGGTTTAAATACAGAGTTGCATATATAAATCCTGCTAAGTGGAGGCACCGTCAATATCAAAAACTCTAAATTACTACATACAGTTAAAAGACTATTTACTATTATTTCTCCTGTTTAACAATATTAGTTGTAAGTAACGTACCCAGGGCCCCACCTATAGTAGTACCATAACATTAATACAGAGTTAATGCCTAACTACTTGGGTTGGGTGCTACACATGTCATCACTGGTCAGATCAGGGAGGGGACCAGAGAAAATTATGCAGTCCGACATTTTTTTGGCAACCTTACACACCGAAGCAACACTAATTTTAGTGACCTCCGATCAGCGTAACCGGGTGTCATTACCACCAGCCTGAATAACAATCTTATTGTATTTAACCTTATCCTTAGCCAGCAGTTTCAGGTAGGATTTGATGTCGCCCGTTCTGGCCCCCGGCAAACATTTGACTATGGTCCCTGGTGTCTCTAATGCCACGTTTCTGACTATTGTTAAAGAAAAATTATTATTTTTAGTTTTAATACAGTTAATCTTATGGCATGTGTAAAAGGTATGTTGAACACTCTCATTTTGAACATATTTCTTAAGTTTGTGTTAATGATTTAAAACTAAACTATTGATGGGTAAGTATTCAAAGTACAGGAAGGAAAATGTAGATCAAAGGGGATCTCGCAATGAGGCTCCTGTTGTTTATCAGAGGCGACAGGAGGCCATAAAATGAGTATCTCCTGGGGGGGCAGCATCATTTGAGCCTCGAGGAGAGAAGTCTGCTTGGTTCACAGAAGATCAAAAGTCTTCCAGAACTAACATCTGGGATGGTGGAAAACTGAATACAACGTAGAATGTTAAAACACTAACATTTAGTTTTTAAGACATTTTTCTAAATACTAATAGCATGTTTTTAAATGAAAATTGTATTATCTAATTTTACAATTAACTAGTTTAGTAGATGATGAATGTATTTGAAAATTGTACTATCTGTGACAATATCAGAATCAAATGGAAATTGTTTGAATGAAAATGTTTTGTTTAGTATTAGAAAATTGCTCAGGATCTATGCTAAATGGGGAATTGGAAAATGTGTTAGCTTGTATACTTAGGATTTAATATTATGTTTCATAGGTTAGAAAAAGGAATTGTACCTCATGTTCTGTTGATTCTATGTGTTATTTTTGGTTTAAGGCAGGACTCAATCTTGTGCAGAAGAGCAAAATTGGGTTTGTGAAGATAACCTTTCCTTGGACCAAATTACTGAATTTAAGTTTGTTCCTGAGAATTTATGTAAGGAGAGATAGTAGGAGAGGCCCCGGATTCCACAGCTATCTGTGAAATCTTATCTTATGTTTTCCTTAGCCAGATGACCTTAGAATTCCTGGAGGCCAGGACAAGCTCTCCACTCTTTTTGTTAAACAAAGGAGCAAATGGCCTTTGATTTTTGCCGTAAATTAGGGGAAGTTCTAAGTTTTTCTAAGTGTCCAAGGTAGCTTCGAATTGGTCAAGCGGAGGGACGCCTTAACTGAATATACTAAAAGGAAAGACACACCTATAAATTATAAAAGTTCATGCACACGAGTAATAATTCAGATAGCTGCCACTATTTTGCCTTTTTTGCACCAGCTCTCTCCAAAGACGTGTCTTTGCCTTTCTTTTCTATTTTCTTTACCTCAGGTAATTATATGTATGTTTCTGTTGTTCTGCAGTTTTGTTGTTAATTCATAAGCTGTTTCTTGTTGGATTAAATTCTGTGATTCTGTGACGTCCACACGCATTGTTGGTTTCCTTGTGGCCACACGCAGCTCGCCGGGAGGGCCTGGGATCCAAAGGAAGAGAGAGAGCCAAACTCTTTCCAAAATTAACTATTTTAGAATATTTTCTTCCTTAACACTATGGAGCTGCCAATCACCAGATTGGGCTTCTCAGTGGGTGTGTCACTGAGTGGGGAAAACCGGTTAGAAACGTGAACGGGTTGGTGGTGACCAGTGGGCAGAGATCCACGACTACGCTTTCTGCGTACAGTTACCCAATCGCCTGGCTGCTCAGGCACCGCTGGAGGACAGCTACGTGGGGGGCCTACTTTAACTCCTGGATGTTCAACAGCCTGAAGCCTGGATTCTAACTCTGACAGCCTCGTCTCCAAAGCTACTAAAATACTACACTTGTTACACATCCCATTATCACTAAAGGAGGCAGAGGAATAACTGAACATCTGACACAGTGAGCAGGAGAGAGGAGAGGAAGAAGGAAGAGTTGGAAAAGAGTCAAGGGAGGCAGAGAGAGAAGCCATAGCGATGCTACGCTAGCCTAGCCTAGGCTAGCTACTCCTTACTACTAGAAATAAAACCGTGTGAAACTGACAAGTGCTCAGTAGAAAAGTGCAGCAGAAGGCGCTATGTTTTAAAGTAGTTGTGGTCAGTTAGAGTTCCTGAGCTACAGAGATGTTACAGAAAAAATAACTTAGCTTCAGATGGAGATTGTCTGGACAGCTACAACACTCAGTTAATCCAAACAGGAAGTCCAACCTCCTCTACAGGAAGTGAGGTAGCACTGATACCAATCTCATCATCCTGCCAACAAGCTGTTCTCTCCTTACTTCCAAAAAGGAGACCTGACTTTGTTGAAAAACTGGAGACCAGTTGCCCTCCTTTGTGTAGATTACAAACTATTTTCTAAAGTACTTTCAAATAGGCTCAAGAACATCCTTGAATTCATTATACACAAAGATCAATCATACTGTTTACCTAAAAAATCTATCATGGATGATCTTTTTCTTTTGAGAGACCTGATTGATATCTATAAACTGTATGAAATTGATGTTGCAAATATCTCCTTGGACCAGGAAAAAGCTTTTGACTGTCAGGATCCCAGTGTTTGTGTTCGTCTGTTTGTCTTGTCTTTTGTGTTTCTCCCTTCCACCACCAGGAGGCGCCTGGCTCCGGTTCGCCTCCTCACACACCTGCAAGCTGTTGCCTCATCACCGAACTTCTCTTAAGCTGCTGGTTGCCACTACCTCGACGCCAGAGTGTTTGCCAGTTTGGGGAACTCTAGCCAAGCCTTGTTTATGCTGAGTCTAATCTGAGTTTTTGCAGTTTTGAGTTTTTGTTCTCTAGTCAAGCTGAGATCTCATTGAGTTTAACTGAGCGCTTTTTTCTCCCTGAGTCTCAACTTTGTTGGTACTTTGCCTTTCGGCAGGAAGCCTTCCTGCAAACTGGACATTTTCGGACCGCCTCTCCCAAGTGGGATCAACTCTACACTGAGTGACAGATTCCAAACAGGAGGTTTTGGATCCAGCCACCTTTGAGCACGCTGAGATCACTCTCTGAGTAAGGAAGTCATCTTCACCACGACCCGTTCAAGTACCACAGGAAAACTGAGTTGCAACCAGCGGCTGCATCATTCCACTGGGTAAACCCTGTTCCGCCAAAACCCTGGAAGACCAACACACAGACTGGAGTCTACATGTCACCTCTTCTCAGGAAACGTGAGTGGAAACAAATCCTCTCCTTCAAGATAAATAACTCCAACTCCCCACTGAGCCTGAACCTGACAGTCTGTCTTCCCCTCGTCTTTCAGTTTTCCGCACCAACCTCTAATACCTTTCAATAAAACCCGTTCAAACGTTTACTCTGTGTCTCTCTGTTTGGCTTCATTGCATGTGGGTCCGAGCATTAGAAAAATCATGACATTGACAGGGTTGATCGTTGTTTTCTGTTTTCTACACTGAGGGCTTTTGGTTTTGGATTTATCTCTTTGTTTATTGTATAAAGAAGTGGTTTGTGTTGTTAAAATTGGGGGAGGATTGAGATGTCCTGTTAAAGTTCAGAGAGGTATTAGACAAGAGTGTCCTATTTCCGGACAACTGTACTCTATTGCAATTGAACCCCTTTCACACAAACTGTGCTCTGCTTTAACTGGTGTTATTCTTCCAGGCATCCCAAATCATTCAGGTTCAGTGGTCTCTGCTTATGCTGATGATATAAACATTTTTGTTAGAAATCAGAATGACATAAAGGGTCTTCAGCGCTGTTTGGAGCTTTATGAAAAAGCCTATTCAGCTATAGTAAATTGAGATAAAAGCCCACGGACTAAAAATCTGCCTGCTTTCCCAGGTAATATTCATTGGGAAAACCAAGGTTTCAAATTTTTGTGTTTCTTTTGCTAGTATCGTTTTCTCGATAAAGAATGGGAGGGTGTGTTGTGGGAAAACTTTGATTTCTATTCTATTATATATTAATTATCCTATTTACTCACTATAAAAGTTTTCACTCAGTCTTTTTCTCTCTCTCAAGGCCACACATTTCTCTGCAGGATGGTGTTTGTTGACCAGACATAGCTTCTTCCCATAACAAACTAGATTCTTTCTCAAGGTTTATTCATAACATGTTACTGTTTAACCAAAGTGTCTGTAATTTGTTATGACTCTGACTACTTTTCATTGTTGTAGGAAAGGGGGAAAGAACGCTGTGCAGATCAGAACAGAGCTGAATGCTGTGCTATAAGGGCTGTATGATGAGCTGTTCTCTCTTTGCAAAGATATGAATAAATGTGCCGACTGAGTGAAATCCATCAATCTCCGTTTATTTAACTAGGATGAATAGTTGAATACTTTTTTCCCACGAAAATTTGGCGTTGTCGGCAGGATTCTCCTTGACTGATTTTTTTCTGAGGACAGCAATTGTCAGAAGTGTCAGGTACCACCTGGAGGAAGCAGTCTTCCAGCCTCAATACCCCGTTAGAAGGTTAAGGGAGTGAGGACTTCTGGCATCGAGGTCCCTGGAGGTCAGCAGTGTTGGG